TGCCTTGAAGTATCGCAACATTATATTTTGCACCTGTTGGGAAGTCTGGGAAGCCAAAACGAGCACAAGCTTCAGCTGCTAACCTCACACACACACACACACACACACACACACACACACACACCCCTCAACAGCAACGCACAACAAAAACCTGCACTTCAGATCAGAGAGATTTATACATTTATTAGAGAAAAAGAGAATGAGAGGGAGAGAGGGAGAGAGGGAGAGAGAACAGAGCAGCCTGAGAGGCTGAGAGGGAGCAGTTGTATCTGAAGTGTATGGAAATGATGAAATGAGGAGAGCAGAGCCAAATAAATGCCGCGCTATTCAGTCCTGATGAAAACGCTGAGTGCCTTCAGTGTGAAGCCTTGATGAGAGAGAAAAGTGCTCGACTTACAAAGAGCCAAAACGAGAGCTGCTTGTGTTGAGTTTGGGCTTCAAACTTAAGGACTCAACACAAAAACCTGCAACTGCTTATAAAAAGAAAAAGAGAGAGAGAGAGAGAGAGAGAGAGAGAGAGGTGCAAATGGTCAGTGTTAGCTGTGCTGAGTTCATGGTGGTCAGTCCTGAATCTCTGTAAGAGCGTGTTTGAGTGTCGGGGGGGCGGTCGGACGTTCACACTGTAGACTCACTGTTTTACCAAGTTTCATATTTTAAAATACAGCACTACTGTATTCACTGTCAAAGGAAAATACGTCGATACACTGTTTAAAAGCTACAGAGAAAATGTGGCTCCTAACAACCACCTGGAAGAGCTGGTCGACCCCAAAACTGCCCCCATCAGATAAACAGCACTTAAAGCTTTCATCTCTGAGAGAGAGGAGAAAATCAAGCTGATCAGATCTGAAAACATCCACAGGTGTTTCTGTCCATCCTTCCACTGTGAGAAGACGACTCAGCGCTGTGGGTCTGAAAGGATGTGTAGCTGATCAAGAAGAACCTCACTGAGAAAAGGAGACGGACACATCAAACAAAGAAGCTGAACGATGGACTGACCACCCCAGAGTCCAGACCTCAACACCACTGAATGTGTTTGATTACTTCAGAAAATCATCAACCAGCTTCTAAGACTGAACTTTGGAGGTGTGTCTGCAGATTCTTTGAGGAACTGAAAGTGAGTCTCCTGAAAAGAATGGAGGCTGGAATAAAGAAACATCTGATACTGAGAACAACGAATGAATTTTACTTCATGGCTGCTTTGACTGGATATGTAAGGAATGAAGACGAGTCTCTGGCTTCTGCACTGCGCTGTACGTTTGTGTGTTTGACCTCGAGACACACCAGCTGTTCCCCACAGCTTTGTTCACCTCCAGATGTTGCTCTTATACAACCATATCTTGTAACTGGTCAGTGCTGAACTGGATGAAGCAACTGCGCTCACACGAGCACAACAACGAGAATAAAACAGGACAAATTTAGCCCAGTTCTCAGAGAGAGCCTGTTTACTCGCTTCCTAAAAGCAATTTTCATGATTAAAAATACATGTACTGTACTGTGAGCACAGGCACACATACAGCCAGCCTGGTCCAGTCCTTACATAAAATACCAACATCTGTTAAAACCAGCTCTGACTGTAGATACAGAACAACACAGCCCAGTGTTTCCTCAGGTATGTCATTAAGATTAATCTCCATAATTTAGATTATACAGTTTTCCAGCTGTAGAGCACGACTGTGATTACTGCTCTGAAATAAAGAGCACTATCTTCTCAGCAAGCTTACAATGTCACTTTAATCTTAATTCCCGTCTAACTGAGCAGAAAGTGTGCATATATACACCGATCAGGCATAACATTCTGACCACCTCCTTGTTTCTACACTCATTTTATCAGCTCCACTTACTATATAGGTGCACTTTGTAGTTCTACAGTTACAGACTGTAGTCCATCTGTTTCTCTGATACTTTGTTAGCCCCCTTTTACCCTGTTCTTCAGTGGTCAGGACCCCCATGGACCCTCACAGAGCAGGTACTATGTGGGTGGTGGATCATTCTCAGCACTGCAGTAACACTGACATGGTGGTGGTGTGTTAGTGTGTGTTGCGCTGGTCTGAGTGGATCAGACACAGCAGTGCTGCTGGAGCTGTACGTCAGTCAGTTATGATTTATGGCCCAGTCCCATTTCACCCCTCGCCCCTACCGCTCAGCCCTTAGCCCTCTGTTTTGCGCGTTCATGTCTAGGGGTAGGGTGTCCTGATTCTTGTTGAGATAGAGGGGTAGGGCGAAGTGTTAGAACTACATGGCCCTCCAAACAAAGGTTTTTCAGAGACTCCAAACAGAGAGTTATACATTTAAAAAAAAAAAAGTAAGATGTCTGCGCGGGCGACCAAAGAAACACACAAATGTGAGAATTTTCTGTTAAAAATTACGATAATCACTGTATTATCTTAGTTTAATGTCGTTTCAGTGTATTTTGGTCGTTTTCTTCATAAAAAGCTTAAAAAATCTCTAATAGCATGCTAATGTCTCGGTACCTAGCGAGCTAACTTTCCCGTTCCACCTTAAATAGTCCAGCAGTTCTGACGCTTTAAACCCCAGAATGTAACTGCTGCTCCATTTAAGGTGGAACGGAAAAATTCGAACAAGAATCTGGTGAATATCTGACTTCAGCTTCATATCACTGAAGAATTAGGGATGGGTGATAATAAATAATTGCCCCCCTCTTTGAAGTCATATGATGCCCTAAATGTAACTAAAGCCCAGCAGTGAGGAGCTGAACTTTACCCTCCTCTGCTGTCACTGCAGACTGGCAGGGTCGCCTACAGAGCAGCGCTGGTAGCTGTTAATGAAGTGATGCTCTTTTTATTTGAGGGTCCCATTTCAGAGGGAAGATTTCAACCACTACCCTGTAACTCAGTTCTAAGGGGTTAGGGTGACACTCGAAAACAAGGGGTAGGGGTAAAAAGAAGAAATTGGATTGGGCCTTAGCACGTCTAGGGATAGGGTGTCCCAAATTTTTTGGCCAAAAACCGAAAGTTCCATTTTTTTTTAGACCATTTCCGACCTAAACATTTTTGTGGCTGAATTTCAGTGCATCTCTAACTCAGATCAGCACTGGTGGTGGAGATGTTGCTTAGTGTAGCTCTCCCTGCAGCTCTTCATGCTTAAAGTCGCTTTTGCTTCCCAAATTCTACTGAGCAGAATTACATCCCTGCAGAACATTTTGGTGGGAAAGAGCTTCATTTACTAACACGGCTCTCTTCATCACTGAACCTCTCTTTGCTGGTTTGTCTGGGTTGTACTGAGTGCACCTGTTTCAACACACCTTTTAAACTCTGCGCCTCATAAGCGTGTGGTTAACAGTTTGCATGATTAAATACAGTCTTAGTAAACTGAACATTCACTTCAGATTCATTACTGGTGCATCCTGCATCCTGCAGCCTGCGCTCGTATGCAGATCTGGCCCTAAGTGTCTTATTTACTGCTTTATGGACCCCACTGCGGTTTCGTGTACTGCACAGTGACTCGATTTGAACCAAAGCCGTCCATCTTCAGTGTCAAGGACAGGAACCTCTCTCATACAACCCAGCCTGTCAGAGCAGTGCTTTATGGGAAGGGAAATCCAGAATCCTGTAGTAAATAAGGCCCGAAGACACAAAGCATAAAACCAACACTAAGCCCTTCTTAAGCTGCTTCACATCAAAAGAAAAAAAAAGAGAAAAGCTGGACTAGTCTACAGAAGGAAAGCCCTCTGCTCCGCTATTACAGGCATACAATAAAAATGTTTTGGACCAAATCTGATAGCAGCACAAGCTATTATACACTAGAGCATAACAGTGGCCTAAATGGACGCTGGAGGTCAACACTGGTCAACATCAATAGCTGCAGAGAGGAGAAAACCACCCAGAATGTTTCCCTGGGGTTCTTACCATCACCATCCGGCTGTTTGGGGCTTTATTTATTTTCGCAGCAGTAGATAAGTACGGGGACTCTTGAAAAGCTGCTTTAGGAACAACAAGAGCTGCAGTGATAAATGGTGCTTCATGTAATGACTCCAGCAGGCCACTTTAAGGCTTTCAGGACACAAAATGCTTCAAACAGAACCACAAAACAGGACTGCAGAGTATCAATCACATGATCCAATCATGTTGGTCAAAAATGAGACAAGCCAGTCTGCAACCACTGGTCGGAAAAAAAAGCCAAGACATTGTGTCCAAATTTTGCCACTGTCACCAAAATAGTCACCCAAATCGTTTTTGGAAATACATCCCCAAAAACTTCTCTCAGCCAGCTCAAACCGCATCCAGGTCCTCAGTAAGGTGTTCGCTAAATCTGCTGTTTCTATTTAAACAACTGAGTAACTGTTAATCCTGAACTTTTAAACCAAAGATATATATGTTGTTTCTACATATATCTAAAACAAATAGAAACAACGTATATATAACACAGGCGATATCTGGCTCGATTTACTGAGATTTTTTAATGAGGTCTTTTTTGACATGGTCTAAAGGTCTAAAGTGTTTTGAGCGTTCAGGCAGATTGTGAAGTTCTGCTCATGTTTATGTCTCACAGTAAGACAGACTGAGTCCTAAACCACATCCACATATCTGCTCCACCTTAATGAAGGGCTGGATGCGGTTTGAGAGGTTCAAGAGACGTTTTGGGGATGTATTTACAGAAAAGGTTTGGGTGATTATTGACTTTGTGTTTATTAGCAATGTAACTACACATTTGACTGGTTTAAAGCCAAACATCCAAAGGAAACACTACGAATAAAGTTCTCATTTATGAATCAGTCGTGCAAAAACGCTCAGGCAGAGGCCAGCAATTCATGTCATGATGAAATAATGTTGTAACAGTAATTAGCCATGCATGCTTTTAGCAAAATACAATGTTATTGTGGTGTTTTGCTAAAATATTTATTACTATAATGTTTTTAAAATTTCGCTCAGCTCTAGTAAAAGGTTTTAGAGAAGCGACCAGTGTTTTTTGCTGCAATCAGCTGCAGTTAAAATTACAGCAGCCAATCCACTCAGATAAGCTCCATGGCGTGTAGTCAGTACCTGGAACGCTGGTGGAGACGTTGACCTGGGCGTAGAAGTGTTTGTTGGGTAGCAGCTCCGAGACGCCGTTCCGCGCCTCCACGCTGAAGGAGTAGTTGGAGTTGGGCAGCAGGTTGACCACAGTGACCGTGCGCTCGGTCAGTCCGCTCTGCTGGGGCACGAAGCCCACGCTTGCCCCACACGGTTCGCACTGGGTCTGAGGGGCCCGCGGGGGGCCCACGCAGCGCCGGCAGCCCACGCTGTAACTCAGGTCACCTCGTCCACCTGAGTCGTTTGGTGCGGCCCATTCCAGGATGAGAGTGGACTGTTTGAGGGTGTAGACCAGGTCACGAGGAGGAGAGGGGGGTCCTGCAGAGAGAAGGAGAGAATACTTACAGATACAGATAAACACAAGGAGTGTAAAGATAATAATAATGAGGGACATATTCAATATTTATTAGTAATCAAACAGGGCTACTACAATTAGTTTGAGAACTCTAGTAATGCATTGTTTAATTAAAAATACAAGCACTCTATAATGTTCATATGACCCACACAGTCATTCTGACAGACTGTAATACACTACAGGAAGTGTAGGGGGCGATATGGCTTCTACTGTTTCATTTAAAAAGCTCTATAATGTTCATATGATCCACACAGTCACTCTGACCGACTGTAATACACTACAGGAAGTGTAGGGGGCGATATGGCTTCTACTGTTTCATTTAAAAAGCTCTATAATGTTCATATGATCCACACAGTCACTCTGACAGACTGTAATACACTACAGGAAGTGTAGGGATGTAAATACATAAATTATTTTAGGCTGTTGCAGTAATCAGTAAATAAATACAACCAGTCAGTTTTAGGTCTTGATACCGTTCCCCTTTTCACTCCGTCTACCCCTCACTGAAGCTCACTCGTTTCACAAAAATACAGAACATTCACACAGAGTCTATTAAAAACCTTTTAAAAATAACTACCATAATAATTAGCTCCATAATATAAGGAATAACTGAAGTAAATTGTTCATGTCTATCCTGAAAAATGACAACTGTTACAGAGCAGAAAATAAAATAGCCGTGTACAAGAGCAGAATTCTCACCTAATAATCTCTATTGCACACTATAAATGTAATTAAACAGTATAATTCTGCCCTAATGAACTGTACTCTGTTTTAATAACGTAACCCAATTAGCCATAATCAGGTGCGGCTCACGCTACAGGCCTGTGGGGGAGGATTGAGTGGGAGTGAGAGAGCACATATGGTCTGAGTGGGGAACTCGCTCACACGTTCTGTTAATTCAACCGAGGGGCAAAGCTCAGCTCGCCATGAAAGCTGTGGAGACACGCGATCCGACACTGAAAACCACGGCCAGGTTCTGCGAAAGGGCGAGAGCGCTTTGGCTTAGCGAGCACGAGCACTGGTTAGTGATACAGTCAGACTGCTGGGACCTGGACCTACTGTGTTCCTAAAGAAGAGCTTAAAGAAGAACTCCACCAATTTTTAAAAAAAAAATCTACAGAATTTAATGGCTAAGATGTAAACAGAGTGGATCAGAGCGGTTCAGAGTGATTCAGAGTGGTTTGGTATGAAACGTTCTGTTCTAGAGAAACTTACCAAGTCAGAACTGTGTTGGTGGTGATAGGAACCAGACGTCCACCTCTAAAAGCTCCCTCACAGAAGGTTACTACATGAAATGACTAGATATATGCTTTCTGAGCCATTGTTTTATGATAGCTCTGTTAAGGTTTCAGCTTAATGTATTTGAATCCATTTATTTTAATCCATTCGTGGAAGAAGAAGCCATGCAGGGTGTTCTGAGGAAGAACAGTCCCCAAAGAAAACTTTTTTTTTTTTCTCCAGATTTTCCACTATTTTCCCATCATCAACATTCCATATAAACTCAGAAGACTCGTGTAGGTTCACTGGTGGTTCTGGATAGTAAATAAATGTCTATATCTGTGTTGTAGTCATGGCGACCCCTGGTTCCTATCACCACCACTGTAAAGACATCTGAACCTGTATGTTTCTCTACAATGAACCATTTTACATCAAACCACTCTGAATGACTTTGTTTACATCTCAGCAATTGACCTATATAGAAGTTCTGAAAAATCGGTGGAGTTCCCCTTTAACAGAAATAAATATGCTGTGTTATAGTAGGCACGTGAATCTTTGAGTTTACAGTGAATCGATTCAATTCACAATTCACTGCTTTTTGATTTGGATCAACAGAACAATTTGATTTAGTACACTAAACAGATTTATTTTGCTGATTCAAGCATCTTTATGAATTATTATAATAAATTAAAGCGAACCCTGACTGTTAAGACTTGCATGGCGTAAAACAGTGTACATGTCCATCACTACTAAACTATGACATATAAACCAAATGGGAATGTTTTGATTATTTTTAAAACGTAACAAACAGGCAAAATTCCTTACTAGTTGGCCACCATTATCACATTATGAGAAGGTCATATGGTTGCAGTGAAGTTGATCCTATGGAAAATAAGACAAACAGTATTTCTCTTGAGTGACGTGATGCTCTGGCTAATGCTGGAAAGGCTGAGCATCTCATATTAGAGTTAAATGAGATATTTAGCTCACTGTTCCTCACTCAGCGGACATGATAAAAAAAAATCAAGTCAAAGTTTATTTAAGTTCAGTCACGTCACTCCACTGCCGCGCTCCCTTCACTGGCTTCCTGTAGCTGCATCAGATTTAAAACCCTGATGCCGATAACGCCAAAACGGATGAGCCCCTCCTGACCTGATGGCAATGGTCAAAACTCGAACTGTACCTTGAGCCCTTCGAGTATAGTTCAGCTCAACAAGACGGGCAACAAGACTTTTCTCTGTCCTGGAGTCCAGGTGGTGGAATGAACTCCCACTGGCTGTCCGAACAGCAGAGTCTCTCGCGGTCTTCAAACTCAGACTGAAGACCGTCTCTTTATACAGCACTTAAATGAGCACTGAGTTTAGTATTGATTGTAATGTATTGTGCTGCACTTGTTGAGATGTACTGCACTGCACTGTGTTTAACTCGGTTCCCTTTTCTCTCTGTATCAACATGGACTCTTACAGAATGACTGGCGGGTGAGTTAAGGTGGAGCACACTGAGTTAAAGCATGTGACTGTCGTGGATGAACAGAAGCTAAACAGCTAAAGCCACTACCTTCAATGCACGTCAGCATTATGTGATGATTAGCTAACTACACTGCAGCGCATTGACATGTAGAGCGTTGGCTTATCTAAGTCTGATCAAATTAAACCAGACCAGAGAGCTGTTTATGATCAGCAGTGATTCGCAAAACCACGATGTGTTAGCTTGTAAACGCTGCCTGAGCCTCTTAAATGGAGAATCCCACACGTACGTTAAGATTTGTTAATAAATCATGATTCATAACATTTACATATAGATTTTTGACAATCAGAATTCACCATTTCTCTTTTACAAAACAAATAAGAAAGACACTATTCTTAGTAACAAAACATGAAGTTGGCCAGTGACTTAAGCACTGACGATGTCTACGCTTTGCTCAGAAAAGCAGACTGTGATGTACACTCTTAAAAAAACGATGGTTCTTGGAGGGTACTTTAGTAGAGACAATGATTCTATATAGAACCATGAACACTAAAAGAGCCATCTGCATGATTTACATGGTGAAATGGTTCTTTAGACCGATGTAGAATGTGTTGTACATGGATCTATATAGCACCTTTTTGAAAAGGGTTCTATATAGCACCAAACAGGGTTTTGCTATTGCATGCAAATGGCTATCTGAGTGTCCACGGTTCTACATAAAACCATTCTCTACTAAAGAACCCTCTCAAGAGTATAATGTGATGTAATTCATCACAATAACAGTAAATACTGTCATACTGCCCATCCTTAAAGACAGGGCAACTGCTGATAATGACATTTCCATGGAACCTAAAGGTCACTAGTAAATTGTACATGACTGCTGAATACATAAATGAACACATGCAGTCAGTGCTGAGGCTGAGAAGAGCACGATCAACAGATGGTCAGAGCGCACAAACGAAAAGACTACCACCGAGTCACCACAGAAAGAGGAGAGAGACAGAGAGAGAGAGAGAGAGAGAGAGAGAGCACTAGAGAGATCAGAGGCATTAATTGGTGCTGTCCTGCTGCTGGAGAAGGAGGAGAGGGTCGAGGAGACCGTTTGTCAGACAAGAATCTGCCCGCAGCAGGGCGCCATTAAAATGTCACAGAGGGTTTTGAGCTCCGAACTGAGGCCTCTCGCACTACAGGTGCTGCATTCTAGACACAAAAACAGGAACAAACTCACAAAATCCCCCCATATTTCAGTGTGTGAGGTGTAATCAGAGGGGTTCAGAGAGGTTTGGTGTGAAATGGTTCAGATGTCTTTACAGTGGTGGTGATAGGAACCAGGGGTCGCCATGACTACAACACAGATATAGACATTTTATTTACTATCCAGAACCACCAGTGAACCTACACGAGTCTTCTGAGTTTATATGGAATGTTGATGATGGAAAATAGAGGAAAATCTGAAATAATAAGTTTTCTTTGGGGACTATTTTGCCTCACAGCGCCCTGCATGTATCCCTCCACCATGAATGGAGTTTAAGTTCTCTAAACTATCATAAAACAGTGTCTCAGTCATCAGGCAGTGAATTCATAACCATTTCATGTAGTAACTTTCTGTGAGGGAGCTTTTAGAGGTGGACGTCTGGTTCCTCTCACCACCACTGTGAACAGTTCTGACTCGGTAAGTTTCTCTAGAACGGAGCTTTTCACACCAAACCACTCTGAATGACTCTGAACGACTCTGAACCACTCTGAATGACTCTGTTCACATCTTAATCGTTTAATTATGCAGAAATTTGGAAACAATTTTGGAATTCCCTTTTAATGAATGGATTTTTGGGGAAAGAAAAAACAGACTGGGGTTAAAATTACTGTAGGGCTGTAAGGTTTACTTTTTAGGTAATATTACAAAAATGTGATTGTGGAATACATTTAAAAACATGTTTTATTATCCACACCAGTAGGTTTTTGTAATGAAAGTTGCCTCTTCAGATGAGCCGGTAACCTGACGCCAACATCGTTACAGCCCTGGGTGCTGATGAGGACTCGTCATCTTCTATGCAAGATCTTTTCATGTTCATTTGCCAAAGAAATACATTTTTAGTGCTTCTGGACTGAGCTAACATTAGCTACAGTAGTTAGCCTAGCTAGCAATAGTAGTCACTTTAACCCTCTGGGGTCGAGGAATGTGCCAGCACATCAAACTCTCTGTCTCTATATCTGTTTCTGTATCTTTCTGATGATCCAGCTCAGAAATCCAGTTCAAACACTTCCTGAATCTGTAGAGTCGCCCTTTCCGTTCCATCTTATCTCGAGATCATACGAGACTCACATCCGGAGTTATGAGCCTATGAAGAGGGGCTGAGATACATGTCATCTGCCTCTCACCGTGTGGAACTGGTGGATTGGTGTGTCTGTCTACATTCTGTGTGAAACTGACCAATGGACACTCAGGAAATCACTAAGGACTGACCATCACGCCGGAAACCCTTCATTCTTCATTCAGTCCACATCGGAGACACGAAATGGTTAAATATGTCAAATTGTTAAATGTTAAATTATATATACACACACACTCCAATCAAATCATAAGTTTTGTTGATTCTCCAAGTTTTAGAACACAATTTCTATTTATTTCCTGTAACTTTTGCACAGTGTACAATTTGTTTTTTTCCCCAATATGTTAAATTTAGCAAATACACAACAACTGTGTATTAAGATGTATAGTAGTGTGCTCTCTGTAGAGGGTGTATTCACTTATTCAAACTAAAAAAAATCCAAAAATACAGCAAAGCGTAACAAATACCTGATTAGTGATTTCAGGACTAATAGTTAATGGACTAACTCAAGTACCCGAGCACATCACCAGTTTATGCACACAGGGGTGCCACAGGAAGCTGGATTGTTTTTTTATTTCCAGGCGTTGAAAGTGAAGTGAAGGAAATGAAAACTCAAATGAGAGGCAAACAGTTTCTGCCCACACAGGGAGCCACTCAGTCTCAAGGTCTAACCTATTCAGAAACGTTAAACTGCAGATTTAAACACTAATTGAAAAGCTCTCACTTTCAAAGGAACTCAGAGAAAAAGAAAAATAAACTCTGATGTTATAGGTGGCCTCTAATATTCCATTATAGGTGTTGATATGAGATATGGTGATATTACCACTGCAATATCAACAGCCTCGACCAGCAGGGCTTCACTTCACACTGAGGTGATGCTCGGAAAACTTGCCAAATTCTGGCTATGTTCACTCAAGAAATGTAACACAGGCTTAATTAATTACTGCCTGATCATTTCTACAGCAGAGATCACTGACACGGTCACAAAGAAGACAAAGACGAATGCAGTTACTTGGCAGTTTGGAAGCTGTGAGAGTTAAAAAAACGTTAAAAATATTGGCCGATACTCAACATTTCAATATCAGTATCAACCGATACCCAAGGTTTCAATATCAGCATCAGCCGATACCCAAGGTTTCAATATCAGTATTGGCTGATACTCAAGGTTTCAATATCAGTATTTCAATATCAGTATTTCAATATCGGTACACCTGCCTGCTTTGGTTTCTAATGGGGATGGGTTTAATGGTCAGGACCAGAGACCACTAGTTTCCTGTAGGGCACCTTTGGAAACCATTAAATGCACCTGGAATCAAGACACCTGTTAAACCATTAGAGTCCTTTACACCGTGATGTCAACCCATCAGGAAAATACACAATACCATTAGTAACACAACTGCAGGAACCAGCAGGAACTTTTAATGGTTTCTATGATTTTGTTTTCAGCAGGGAAGATTTCAATATTAAACAAGCTGAGATTCTGCAGTTGTTCTGGCTGAATATCAAACAGGTTTCATGTCTGTTCGAGTCTGTATTTTATGCAACGCAGGAGAATTTTCTCTGCTTCTTCTTTAACTAAAGTTGTGTGAAAGTCTCGGCGTGTAAAGCCGCCTCAGTGCTGTTCCACTGTTATTCTCCGAGCCTGAATCTACACGGAGACAGAAGCAGCGTAACAGCGAAGGCTCTGAAGACTCCCTCAGTCTGGAAGTCGGTTCCGGCTCTGACCTTCACCTGCTCCTTCTAAAGACGAATGAATTAAATAAACGGAAACAACCAATGAGTCACAGCGCTGAGGAGATGATAAGTGCAAGGGCACCGAAAACAGAGGAGTCGGGAACAAAGCATCGCGCATCAGTTTCTGTCGGATATTACAATTCCGAGTGTATTATTCATGCTGGAGAGTTCAGTAGCTGAGAGTTCAACATTCAGCCCCTTTTTTCCTGAAGTTTCCGAAGCCGCATCTTAATGAAACTCATTAATTGCACCGAGACAATTACAGAGCTATTAGCGGAGTACACAGTAAATAAACAAAGCGGCGACGCACGCGAGGACACGTGTATTGAATTCATGTGTTTGTGTTTAATGACTTTAGTGTTTATTAAATGCACTGTGGAGTTATATAAGCAGGTTGGCGCGTTTGGCCGTGAGCTCAGCTCTGCAGCTGCGGCCTGGATGCACCACAACACAGAGAGTGACACACCTTTCATTATTCACACACATTCACTCTGCTGCTGCGCACTCCGCCCCTCTGCCTGCTCTCACAGTCTTTAAAGGAACATCCATCATGCTGATCTCTGTCAGGGAGCAAACTCTGTTTGTACTGGTATCAGCCGATACTCCATTTTTTAGATTTATACTGGTATAAATACAGACAAATACTCAAGGTTTCAGTATTTATACTGGCATCGGTATCAGCCAATAAGGTTTCATAATTGATATGTGATTGTTTTCAATATTGGCCAATACTTAAGATTTCAGTATCGATATTGGTATTTATATCGGCCAATACTCAAGGTTTTAATATTGACATTATCAATATTGGCCAATACTCAGGGCTTTATTGTTGATACCAGTATCGGCCAGCACTCAAGGTTTTGATACTGATATCAGTTGATACTTAACGTTTAAGGTTTCATTATTGATATTATCAATATTGGCCAATACTCAAGGTTTAATTATTGATATTGGTATTTAATCTGCCAATACTCAAGGTTTAATTTTTGATATTGTTATCAATATTGGCCAATACTCAAGGTTTCAATACTGATATTGGTATTTATGTTGGCCAGTACTCATGGTTTCAATACTGACATTGTTATCAATACTGGCCAAAACTCAAGGGGCAATTATTGATATTGTTATCAGTATTGGCCAGTACTCAAGGTTTTATTACTGATACTGGTATTTATATCAGCCAATACTCATGGTTTCAATATTGAAATTGCTATCAATATTGGCCAATACGCAATGTTTCAATATTGATATTGGTATTTATTTCGGCCAGTACTTAAGGTTGAATTACTGATACTGTTATCAATATTGACCAATACTCAATGTTTCAATACTGATACTGGTATTTATGTTGGCCAGTAGTCATGGTTTCAATATTAAAATTGTTATCAATATTGGCCAAAACTCAAGGTTTTAACACTGATATTGATATTGGTATCCGTACTGACCAGCACTCAAGGTTTCAGTACTGATACTGGTATTGATATCAGCCGATTCTCTGTCAATGATTAAACATTTATATTGGCACTGATATCCGCCAATACTCAAGGTTTCAATATTGCTACTGGTATCGACCAGTATTCAAGGGCTCACCTGGTGCTGCTGGTACATGGTACTACTAACTGAACCTAGGAACGTTTTTTAAACATTAGAGAACGAGTCATAAAGCTCATTTCTCTCATTGCATAGATTAGTTTCTCATCCATTTGTGTGACCATTTTTACCAAAGACATCAAACTTCACTGCAGTATTTAAGCTGGACACCAGCACGACGACTACAATAGGAGCATTTTGCTTTTGTCGATATCCTTAGCAGCATTATGGAGAGACGCTGACACTCTTAGAACGTTTCTCAGCCAATTACATTGCAAGTTTGTGACTGTGATAAAGGCAAGTTATGGACTTTTTTCAACAACCATCCAATGATTAGATTAAAAAGAACTGGAGTCGTTTCAGTGTCATTCTGAAATTCTTTAGCTCTCATTTTAACTTCCCTCTTTAATCTCTCCCTCTCTCTCTTTCTGCCTTTTCACTGCTATCCTCTAAATACAGATTTGTGGTACCTGCTTATAATAGTAATTACGCAATCAATAATGTAATTAATGCAGTAATTGTGCCTCTATAAATGCTATCGCAAGGCCGGTCAGAGATAAAAGCAGACTAATCAATACTGTAATTAAAAGCACAATTACGATGCTATGAAATTTATCACTGATCTCCGTACAGCTAGGAGAGAAAACCCGTTAGAGCTGTAAAGCCGGGGATTTTCTCTCCTCGCTCTGAGATAACAGAGCGCTCCCACCATAAACAAAATTAAAAAGAGGATCAATAGAAAAGGGTTATAGGATCACAGAGCTGACAGCAGAACACATACACACAAAGAGAGTTGACAGGATGAGTTATCAGTTTGTGCGTAACGTGTTAGTATAATGTCTATTTCTCTCTCATACGTACGTGTGCATGGGGCGGAGGGGGCGTCCAGCGGCGTTCTGAAGTGGTCTTCCTCGCATACACACAGCACGGACCCTTCCTCCTCGGACACGCTGTGAGCCGGACACGGGAAACACTCCTGTTGCCGCGATGACATTTTATAGGTTCCCTTAGGACACGCTGCAAAAACAGAACATGAAACGAGATACAATTAGACCTTCACTGTGTTCAAACAAGAAGAGCTCAAATCCAGTTTATACCTGGACACATTCGCACTGTCACCTGATTAGAGCTTAAACGCGTGTTTCTAGGTGTTTCTGATAAAGAGGCCAGTTAGTGAAAGCACAAGGTGGGTGTTTCTAATAAAGTGGCCAGTGAGTGGCAGCACAAGGTGGGTGTTTCTAATAAAGTGGCCATTGAGTGGAAGCACAAGGTGGATGTTTCTAATAAAGTGGCCAGTGAGCGGAAGCACAAGGTGGATGTTTCTAATAAAGTGGCCAGTGAGCGGAAGCACAAGGTGGATGTTTCTAATAAAGTGGCCAGTGAGCGGAAGCACAAGGTGGATGTTTCTAATAAAGTGGCCAGTGAGTGGAAGCACAAGGTGGATGTTTCTAATAAAGTGGCCAGTGAGTGGAAGCACAAGGTGGATGTTTCTAATAAAGTGGCCAGTGAGTATATAACAGGTAACAGTGCAGAGTTTATTAGATCTAATTGTCAGTATGACTGATAATGTGAACTAATTATCTTCTATGAAGTATATAATTTATGATATAAGTAGTATAAATGCTTATGTGAGACAATTAGGCTGATGTTAATAGCCTCTAATTAAGAGCTTGGAAATAAACAACATAACGAGATTAGTGTAAGCAGTTGTTAGAAGAACACAATAAAGTAACAAAGATATTATTAGCAGAGGTGACAGAGCACAGAACAAAGAGAGAGAAGGACGTCTGCTAAGATTAACCGCTCAGAGGTCGTGACCTTCCTTGGTCATTTAATTCCCCTTGCAGGGTTTCATTCTGCCCTGAGTCTGGTTAGAAGTGTAGCTGTTAACGATCGTACTGTAAACTACATGTCGTGAGCTGTACTGGGATTGTCTGGGTTTGCTTGCGTTTGCTGAACATCAAAGACGTTTCCTCTGTTGAATTTTAAAGTCTGATGAGCTTATCTGAACTTTTACATCTGAATTTTCAAGGCTGAGTTTAAAGTATTCAACTATTGAAGTTTTTGTCAAAGACATTTCAATACGTTCAGTAATTCTGGATCATTTCTATCAGTCCATTCATATATATAAACTGTTACAGTAATGAAAAGGCAGCATTTTTAAATGGTGTAAACAGTGAATTAAAATAAGGTTTTGGTATGGAAGTTCTGCAGGGATGGTACATTAAAGTATAAAGATTCAGAGGGAGAAACTTCAACATCATCAGATTACGCAGCATCATGAATCCCACTCTGATCCGACACCATGAACGTCACATCACCTTCCAAATTAAACCCTCCTCAGAAGTGCGGAGAATGTGGAACAGCTGTAGTCTGTAGAACAGAGAGGCGGGTAGACGGAATAATCGCTGGTCTAATGCCCGTCATTACAAACCCACCAACACCACCCCGCCCTCCGAAATCAGCCTTTAGCCTCACGTTAAACTGAAGCGTGGAGGCGTCTGAGATTTGCACCACAGACAGCAGGTTTGATAGCCGTCAGTTTGAAGCCTTTACTGTTTATTTTGTTTGTGTGGCGCGTCGGCTGATGTCGTTCTCGAGGCAGAAAATCAATCAGACGAGGCGGAGCTCAGCGGTGCTGCTCTACACCATCGCCTGCTTCCACACAGCAGCTACACTGAAACACTGCCCTGTTCAAAGCTCAGAGACCAGTCGAAGGAAAATAAATGAATTTCCAAAACTGCAGTTCAAAAACTGATTAACAGCTACAGAGAAAGTGTGGCTCCTAACAACCACCTGGAAGAGCTGGTCGACCCCAAAACTGTCCTCATCAGATAAACAGCACTTAAAGCTTTCATCTCTGAGAGAGAGGAGAAAATCAAGCTGATCAGATCTGAAAACATCCACAGGTGTTTCTGTCCATCCTTCCACTGTGAGAAGACGACTCAGCGCTGTGGGTCTGAAAGGATGTGTAGCTGATCAAGAAGAACCTCACTGAGAAAAGGAGACGGACACATCAAACGTTTACGTTTGAGTTCAGGTGATTTTCAGATATTTAGTTTAATGTAATTAAAGGGAAGGTGAGCGTCCACAAAGCTTAAACAGTGGGCTCTCAAAAAGTGTTCCATTGATAATAATAACATCATAATTTTTGGTCATGTTTTGGTCAATCATTAATCATGATTTAATGTCAATTTCTAGATATCTATAATATGGTTATAATTGTTTATATGACATATGACATACCAAAATGTCATAAGTCACTACTACTAATGATAATAATAACAGTAAGGATAATAATTTCGACTGGATGACAGGAGCAGAAGACCCCATAATATTTTTAATATTTTACCAACAAAACATGTACAACCCCATTTCCATAAAAGTTGGCACACTGTGCAAAATGTAAATAAAAACAAAATGCAATGATGTGCAAATCATTTAAACCCAATATTTAATTGAAAATAGTACAAAGACACCATATCGAATGTTGAAACTGAGAAATTTTATTGTATTTTTGCATAAATGCCCTGCCTGCAGTCCAGACCTGTCACCACTGAAATATTTGGCGCTTTATGAAATGAAAAATATGACAAATGAGCCCCTGAACTGTTGAGCAGCTGAAATCCTGTATCAAACAAGAACAGGAAAACATTTCACTTTCTAAACTACAGCAGTGTCTCCTCAGTTCACAAACGCTTACAGAGTGCTGTTAAAGAAGAGGTGATGTAACTCAGTGGTAAACAGGCCCCCGTCCCAACTTTTTTGGAACGTGTTGTGGGCGTCAAATTCAAAATGGGCAAATATTTTCAACATTTCAACATTTGACATGTTTTCTTTGTTGCATTTTCCTTTAAAAATATGGTTTACATGATTTGCTCATCATAGCATCCTATTTTTATTTACATTCTGCACAGCGTCCCAACTTTTTGGGGAATGGGGTTGTATTTTTACCGGGGGTACCCAGGATTCCCGGGATTGTACCACAAAAAAGAAAGAAAGAAAGAAAAATTCCATGTTGTTGATTTTCTAAGTGTAAACAAATGAACACATGCTTTACAGAGACGCACTTCTGCACATTTTAATACTCAATTACTGTTTGCTGAATTCAATATGTTGGAGAAAAATTGAACGTAAAATGTGGCCTGTGCAAAAGTTTTGGCTCTTTTTATATCTTACTTTACTTTTTTCTAATGTTACATTCAGCAAATAAACAGACACTCTGCAAGTCTGGGTTAACTTACTTTTCTGTAAGTTGACACATCAGCAGCAGCATTCATCTACAAAACATGTAACACTGGGTGTTCAAACGTTCGACTGTATATCATCATCACACTATCATATTCAGTTCACTCCTTCCACAAAGGCCGCTTTAACCAGAGTTTAATGCCGGTGGAGGAGTTTTGCGATCAGGCGAGTGCCTCCTGCCATGAAACAGCCAACTCTGTCCCTAAGGAGAACGTCAAAGCCACAAAACATCTGCACAGAAAAACGTGCCACCACAAACAATTACCGGTGCCAAACTCCCTGCAGGAACCCCCAGCGGGGGAGGTGGACGAACCCCCGCCGACGCCAGCTGGCTGCGTCCTCATCAATTTGTCTGGTGTGGCGTTTAGTTCGGGCTGATTAAAGCGACACGGAGAGTCTGACTGGTTTCATAGCTCCTTCCAGGTGCCGTAATACAGATATAGCGGCGATCTGAGCCAGTGCTCCGGGGAGGACAGATGCTGGGGTGGAGATAGAGGAGCGTCTGCTGAGGAAGAGGCCCGAGACGAGGCCCGGGGAAGAGACGGCAGGGACGCATTCGCTTCTCCCGCGGAGGAGGTGACGCGCACAGCAGCTTTAATAATACGCACACTGGAATCCTCGCATGGCGGGTATTTGGCGTTTATAGCCCGGAGCCAGCAGAGGGCCATCCGTCGAGTTTGATGGAGAACAAACAAACAGTAAAAGAGGGAGACGCGAGAGGCGAGTCGAGGAGCAGAAAACAAAAGAGCAGAAACTATATTTTTACGGTCGCTGAAACGCGCGACAAGACTCAGGCTTTTGTCTTAACGGTCAAATTTCAGCGAAGGTTCTCTCTTTACAGCCCCGCTCAGCTCTCAGCTCCTGCACACGCATCAATAAATCATAAAGCACTTAATACAGTAAACGCGAACAATGAATTGTTTCGCAGAGCTTCTGACAGAAGGTATTAATGAATATTAATAAGTCTTAAAAGAGGGTTTGCTTTGCGCTCAACCCAAATGGCCTTCATTATTTCGAGCCATAATTCTATGCCGTCTTATTTCCAAATGTCAGGCTAGATTTGTAGGAGGCTGCTGGGGAATCAATAATTCATGCCACCATATTCAGATCACTGGCTTTATGCTGCTAATTCTAATTTATGAAAGGCCCTCTAATAAATGGAATAAATCCGCATTAATGGTGGAGAGAAAGGTCTATTTTAAAGGTCCCGTCGATCACACAGACACTGAGTTAGTGCTTGGCCTCCTCACATGGGGCACCAGTTAACCCACTCAGGCCTCGACTGGTTTTTGGGAAATTTCTGCATAATTTAGTAGCTGAGATGTAAACAAAGTGATTCAGAGAGGTTTGTACAGCTTCGTTTACAGTGGTGGTGATAGGAACCAGGGGTCGCCATGACTACAACACAAATGTAGACATTTTATTTACTACCCAAAACCACCAGTGGGGAGGGCAATACGACTATATTTAATTGTTATCATGATGAATTATGTCAGAAAATGCTTTTCTGAGTATATCACAGATATCGTTCACAGTACTTACAAGATTCATTACAAACTGAGCATAATTAAGCCTGTTTAACTGGATTTAGTGCAGTGCAGTTTGTAAAATAATGAATAAAAATCATTGTAGTTGTAGGTTATATTGTATTTCTCATATGTGGCATTACAAGTTCTATTTTGCCTGTTCCAACTTCTCCGAAAAACTAAAGATTGTGCATATTGAATATCGTGAAAATGTCTTGAAGTATTGTGACATTTTTCCATATC